TAACGTATATAAAACATGTTTGTTTCCATCATAAGAATGGTGAGGTGATCGCTCCTGCTTGCAGTTATTTGCTTTTTCTTGCCGCTTGACTCGTATTATGGGTGTGCGTTATGCCCACATCTTGGTCGTCCTGTTGGTCGCGGATTGGCTTTTGGCCCTCCATGGGCGACTGCAGACGACATCGTGTGACCTCATATGAGATAATGGTATCGTTTGACGTGGTACCGTTATTCACCTACATTCCGACCGGCCTCGCCGTTAGCACTGTCGATGAACTTCTTCAAGAAAAGTATGAGGAAGATGATCAACAACTCAAAAGGAAGCACGTCACAGAACTCTTGGAATTACGCCTCAAGATCGAGTTTACGAGCAAAATAATGGAATACCGATGGGCTCCCCCATGTCTGGGTTAATTGCCCAGGCGGTCCTGCAGAGGCTCGAGCGACTGGTCTTCCGATCGCATTGTCCAAAAGTCTGGGCCAGGTATGTCGACAACATATTTGTCTTAATCAAAAGGAACTGCTTTCAGGACTTTAAGACCTTACCGAACTCAATATTCCTCGATATCCAATTTACGATGGAAGAAGAAAACAACAACCAGCTGCCTCTCCTGGATGAGCAAGTTACGAGGACTTCCGAGGAGAGGGTAGGAACTTACGGTATACCGCAATTTAACAAACACCAGACGCATCCTACAATTCGGAAGTAACCACCCCATTGGTCACAAACGCATTTGTGTCAGAATTCTATTCCAACGAGTTCAAACACATTGTAGCGACGAGGGCAGGAGAAAGGAGGACGCAAAGTATTGACACTCCCTGTTCACAGCCAATAGTTATCCACGGTCCCTCCTGCGTGACTGCCTACAAAGACTCCCCGGTGAGCGACCGAACGAAGAAAAACCGAAGTTTTGGCTCGCGACCCCCTATGTGACAAATGTTTCGGAGGGGGCAGCTCGAATCATGAATCTTTTTGAAATTTGGATTGCCCACAAATCGGATTCGAGGATCTGACAGCAGATAATGCAACCCAAAGACCCGCTACTGACAATCATCAGTGGTCTACAGCATACCCTGCCAAAATTGCAGTGCAAGGTCTATTGGTGAAATAGGTAAACGCCTCTGTACGAGGCTACATGAGCACCAGCTGACAGTCAACCGTAAAGATGCCTTGTCACTGGTGTATGGTCACATAGAACAGGAGTGCACAGTTTCGCCGTCGGCGACGCGAAAGCCATCGGCCGATCCGACGACAACGACAACGAAAGTTGGTCCTCCGTAGGCACAATCAATATAAAGATTGATTTAAATCCGGCCTATCAGGCCCTCCGTACCAGACTCAACCCAACCGAGGCCCACGGCGCCAAAGAGCGATTTACAGCTTCATCAATGGCGGTCA